AACATGTTAAGTTCTGATTTGCATGGTGGTTTTTTGTTGCTACCTCGGAATTTGGGGGTCGATTCCCTCGTAGTTCGGGCTCGCGGGCCTACCAGCGGAGGTAGTGTTCCGCCTGTTACTTGGCAAGTTTCCTCTGTCTTTCGTCGACACGATCGGTTTTCTCTCTCTCAAAAACGAAGGCTACCAAACTTGGTTGTCTTTCTTGCACCCTACGTATCCACGTTCGGTTTTAGGCGAGGCGGGCTGTGGGGAATCCACATACGCCGGCGATACACACCGGCATAATCTCGGATCTCTTTTCACTGAGACGATGGCCGACGCTTTTCGGTGTCCAAATAAGATCGCGGATGCTGCCCCTATCTTTATGTGGCTTCATTCTTTGACGCACGCCGTCTTACAGCCTCGTTTTACGCCGCAAAGATAGGCGCACCCTTTTGGTACTTTTACATAATCAGGTACAGGTAGACACTGAAATGATACATGTCTTTCTCAAGCAATCTCCAGTCCGTTCCTCTGCACCACGCCGTTTTCTTGGCTGGACTTTGGTCGACCGTTGAACGCGCGGATCGATTCACATAGAGTATTCCACGCACACATCGTAACTTATTGTTTCGAGACATCCATTTCCACTTTCCTGTTTTCGAACACGGCAAATACAACTACACTACAGTATGTAGGTCCGCAACAACGGTACGACCAAATCAAAGCACATTTACACGCAAACCCAATCAAAAGTAGATTTCGTTATTTACTTTGCTTCAGGTCGGGTCGGGAGCCAAATCTTTTCTGGCAGAGCGAGCAGAGCGAACAGCACGCGTCCGTACCCAGAACGTGGGTGGCGTTTTTCTCAGCGCTAAATCGCCACAAACGCCCACCGACCTCTCAAACATCGATACGCTCCGGGAGTCTTGCCGCACTCCCGACCACGCTCGCATGTGGGCACCGGGCGATTTCGTGCCGGCGCACCTCCAGACAGCCGCCGATTTCTGGAGCGAGGAGATTCTGCTAGAAACGGCCGAGAGTGACAGAGCCACCCTTTTAGGTTGGGTGGAAGGCGTGAATCTCCACGATTTCATAGACAAAAACTCGAGGGGCGTGTTCCAAGGCCTGGCGTATGATGGGTCCGACATCACCGCAGCGCACTTTCCAAACCATGTTCCCGACGAGCATGCGGCATGGGTTACAAGTGAGGTCGCCGCACTGGCTGCGACGGGGTGTATCGCGAAATGGCGAGACGTAGCGGACGTGGCCATTCATCCCAAGCCTCACTTGGTGCTCCCACTAGGAGTAGAGCCGAAGAAACCTCGGCTGATTTGGGACGCTCGATGGTTAAATCTCATGTGCCTCCACAGCCCTTTCAGCATGGATGGCGTAGGCAAGGTCGCTCAATGTGCGTGGCAAGGAGCTCACCAAGTCACTATTGATCATAAGGCAGGGTACCACCACGTCGCTCTTGACCCTGACTCGTGGCAGTATTTCGGTTTCGAATGGGAAGGCGAGATGTACGTGTTTACAGTACTCGCTTTCGGATGGTGTTCGGCCCCTTTCATTTACTCCTCTCTTTCGGAAGCGGTAGCTCGGTACTTGCGAGCCAGGGACATCCCCGTACTCACATGGATAGACGATTTTTACCTGACCAATTTCAGGTCCACCCGGATGCTTAGTTCAAAGGAGCAATTTCAGGCCGCCCTGACTGCTGCGTACGTAGCTCTAGAGGTGTTCTACCGAGCGGGCTACTTCCTTTCGATCAAAAAGTCTGAGCTCTCTCCTACCACTTGTCTGGTTTTTCTCGGCATTATCTGTGATGCCGAGCGCGGGCGTTTTGAAGTCCCCGAAGACAAACTCGCCAAACTCGATGCAATCCTGACCGACGCCATCTCTTCACAAGTGATTTCTTTTCAGATGTTAGAGAAGCTCGTGGGCAAGTGCGTTAGCCTTTCCGTAGCGGTCCCTGTCGCGGCTCTCTACACGCACCATATGTATAAAAGCCTGACCGTTTATCAGCGTACGGGGGGCCGTAGACCCAACATGGACATCGACATCTCACCTAATGGGGGTCTTATGTTCGAGATGCAGCGTTGGTTGGAAGTGCGCAAGAAGTTCAACGGTGCCTCATGGTACCGCGCTGAACATAAACTGCTGTCTCTTACGGGGGCGTCTGACGCCTCGTCACGTGGATGGGGCGGACTCATTAGGAGCCCTGGCCAGCCGATTTTCAAGGCAGGAGGAGATTTCCCGCCACAGATGGCGCACGAACATATCAACGTGCAAGAGGGCTACGCTTTGCAGCAGCTGTTGCATCTGTTTTCTGACGACCGCCCCACCCGTCTCGCGGGGTCGACACTCGTTTCGGACGTCGATAGTAAGGTTTTGCACGACGCATTTCGACGAGGTCGTGCCTCGAATACTCTCATGCACGACGTGATTACGGATCTGTTTTGGTTACAAATCGAGCAAGATTTCACGCTTAAGCTCCGATGGGTGAGCTCTAAGGCGAACGCAGAGGCCGACCGTATCTCCAGGCCGGGGTCGGACGACTTTGTTAGGATCGACGAGCAGACGTTTGGCGAGTTGTGTCAGTGGGCAGGGGAGACGGTTACCATGGACCTGATGGCCACGCCGGCATCCGTTCATAAAACGTGGGACGCTCGCGGATGCACGGAAGCGGATTTGCCCTTTTATTCTCGCTATCACACTCCCGGTTGCGCAGGAGTGGATGTGCTTACGCACGATTTGAGGTTCATGCCGGGGTCAGCGACACAAGAGTGTTTCGGTTTCTGTTTCCCGCCAACCAGTATGGTCGGAGTGTTTTTGCAGCATCTTGAGGAATGCCAGGCGCGGGCAATAGTGGTAGTCCCCGACCACAAGCAGTATTGGTTCCCTCGCATGGCGAGTGCTGCTCGCAAATCGCGGAAGTTGTCGGTCTGTGGAGGTGTGTCCCCTTTCTTTCGAGTGCACCACCAGCGAGGGTCAGAGCGCTTCCATTTCAAGCGATGGGACATGGTGGCGGTCGTGGTTGATTTCACCAAACATTAAAGATGCGAGATTTTTCCGTTCGTCGCCTGGACTAGCTAAAATTGCGTGCATGGTCATGCTCAATTGATGCTTTTCTCTCATATATATCACATTTATTTTATCAGGCCATCAAGACTATTTTCAACGCCCTCGCCATCATCGCGGACATCCTAGCAGCGGTCGTTCGTCCTAGGAAAGAGGTCAACAACCAGAGGGATATCTCTTGTCCGCTCATCAGAATGTCGGCGTCGACGGCACGGGTTCTATGCCCGCAATGCTATGGCGAAAATGATGAGCCCTTTCGTTTCTGCCAGTGGTGTGGACAGTCGGTGTTACAAAAACAGACTTGCACGAGTATTCCGCTAAAGCTCAATGAAGAGGCCATCTCAAAACGGTTCTCGCAGTTCACCACTGCATGCGCAGCAAAAGCATCCGCGAAGAGTAGGTCCGCTACATGGGCTTTGTTTAGCAAGTTCTTAGCATCTAGAAAGCATGGCGCTGTTCCCATTGAACGCGCCCAACCCACAGACGTAGTGGAGTTCCTGTGCTGGTTGGACTCTAGTGGTACGCGACGACGAACTGTGGTTCATGCTCGAAATTGCGCAGCGGTCGGTACCAAGGACCTCGCCTCATGTTCCACGGAAGAAGGGGAGTGTAATCTTCGTTATGCTTTCGACTCGCTTCGCACAAACCATGTCTCGAAGTTATCAATGGTATTTGAGAAAGAGTTGGGAGTGGTCATACCGTGGAGTAGTACCTTACAGGTCGGTAACCCGGTGCGAAGCGAGCTCGTCGCGCAATACATGTCTTTCACTACGAGCGAACAAAAGCAAGCAGGCGTAGTGGTCAAACAAGCGCCTGTGGTTCTCAAGGGCCATCTCGAACGGATCATATTCCCGATGCAGGTCAAGCTACAGAACGCATCCACGGATATGGAACGGCTTACGCTAGCGAGAGATCTGACTTTCTTTGCGGTAGCTTTCAGTACCACCAAGCGAGGAGCGGAACTCATGAACATCCTGATTCAGCGTATCCTCAGACTCCCGAACAAAAGCGGGCTCATGTGTAATTTTCAGTGGGGTAAGACTCAACGGGATGGAGCGGATCATCTCCTGACGATCCCGTACGATGAGGAGTATGTTAGCATCTGCCCTGTTCGAGCAACAGAGCAACTGATCGCCGTAGGCACACAGGTGGGCTGGGATATGACATCAGGGTACCTTTTCTCAGATGTCTCCATGGGAACACATGGTGAAGCGTTAAGGGGTAGTTTGCCTGTAACGACCACTACGATGTCCTGCGCGCTCAAGCAATACGCAATCGCAGCGGGCGAGACACAAGAGTTTTCTCTACACTCCTTTCGCTCAGGAGGAGCAGTGTCACGAGCCTTGGCAGGAGATTCGCTGTCGACCATCATGCAGAGAGCATACTGGAAGAGTCCAAACACGGCGTGGAGGTACATGAGGCTCATGGAGGTAATTGCCCCCGGATCGGAAGGAGCAAGCAAGATCACGGGGGTCACGGAGGACCAGTACAGACAGCTGAATGAGTTTGGTCTGAGCGAGCAAAGCCGGCATTTGGCCGCATTTAGCGGAAAGCCGTTGCTGTAAGGAATGTTTTTCCGTTCGGACAATTAATTGTAATCGTCCTTTGTGGCAAGCAGCCCACACATTCAGCAGTTTCTTCTGGGAAGTATGGGATAAGGGAGTCAAACAAGGAGTACGACTCCCAAGTAAGGGAGAAGTGGACACACCGGCCGCGGGAGGTGATGCCACTGTTTCATCCCATACTATCTGAGGAGAAGAACTGACTTGGAAATACTGATGGATTATGAAAAGCGGAGATTAGGAAAAGGAACGTTCTCCATCTTCCTTCTACCATAAAAAACCACGGAATATAGGAAGTCGTGCACAGCTCTTCACTCCCTTTTCTGTCACGTGTCCGAGACAGGAAAACCAGAGGAAAGAGGATATCCTTTGAGACACCACCCGCCCACCCAACGGATATGTCTACTTTCAGTACATTTTCAGTCAATTTTT